TTAATCCATCTTCTAGGACCTTGTAACAAACTTAGTATAAATACTAATTCCCACAAATTTTACTCTTTGAATAAGGGTTGAATGCTTGGTCAAGCCCTTATATAGAAATCTTTGATATACATTTTTTGTCATACTCATGATTGACCAAACATAGGGTAATGTGTAGTGTGAATACATGTGTATATAAAACGTAGTATTCACGTGACGAATGATGGAGAGATTCTTGCTCATTTCATAAATTTCAAGGAACAATTTTCGATACTAGAATTAATAGTCTTTCTACCATCATGAGTTTTTTTCTTAATGATGCATGACTGGTCTTGTCCTATTTAAGCCCATCATTCACATTCACATGCTACCACTCACTATTACTTTTTAGTCCAAATAATATACAAATATACACGCACATAGCCAAGGTGGAAATTGTAAGAGGGATCAAGCAATTTTATCCCGTCTTTTTACTCTTTCTTTTAAATTTTACTGTAAGTACGCTACCTATGTTTAGATTGTTATTATGTTATAATTTCAAGAAAATTATTATATGTTTCATATGATACAATATGATTATAATTATGTTAAGGGAATTCGGATCGTCACATTAATTGCACCGAACAAACTCCAAATTAGCTCAAAATCGTCCTTTTTGCATCATTGCATCCAAGTCCCAATGTTTCCCACAATTAGCATAATTACACTAGTTCAAATAGCGATACTGTATCAATTTAAAAGCAATGATAGGTGTTCAGAAAAATACACTTATCAATAGTCCTTGCATAAACAATAATTCGAACTCTTATAATCACTTTACTACTTGTTTAATTGAGATCGTACACTTGCAATTACATCACAATATGTACACAAACGACAATTTTGTTTAAAGCATTTTTTAAATTGTGCTATTTACCCAATTTCCCTAATTCAAGGGGTCTAATATGTTTGTAAACCCTATATGTTGGGACCAGTGGTTCATATTCTACATTGCAAAGTATAAGATATTACCAAAAATAAATAGGCATCATGAATCAATAAAATAACCACAAACGTAATAACTTTTGTCGTACCATATGTCATTCCTCGCACTACCACAAGAATGTATAAGGCTTTAAAATTGGAAGACAAAACTTCAATGATAAAACATACATGTTTGTTACAATTTACAATAATTTATCTCACAAGCCGGATGGCATTCAAATACAAGTGAAACTGGTTTATTATACGGAGGAATTCCAAGAGCATTTTTGGGGAGAGATGAACTAATTATTGTGGCTTCTCAGGAAGTTCAGAATAAGATCATTCACCTGGGCAAGAAGTTGCTCTTGAACAAAATGAGTTCCTTCAGGTATGAAACTTATCTCCAAGTTAGGTACAAATGTTTTCACTTTTCCGCTAGTTATGTAATCTGCCATTCCTGGGAATCTGAACACGTAATCTTTCTCGCCCATGATCAGTAGAGCCGGAACTTGAACTTTCGGATCCGGTTTAGCAACCTGTTCGTGAAATGACCTAAAACAGAATGAAATCGACACATTAACGTAACAATGGGTCAATGAGATAGTTACGGATTAAACCTTAATCCCTAACTCCAAGAGCAACAATAATAAACACGAGAAAGCAGAAAATGAGAAAAGATCACACAAGTTAATATTGGTTCACTCAATGTGAGGGCTACTACATCCATCACTTCTACTGATTTTCATTGTGAAGGAGAAAGAGGGTTGCAATGGTGACCCCACACCTCTTTGTATGTGTCAATCTAAATACGTCTCTGTGATTTAAGTAGGAATATTAGGTCAATCTAGTCTCATGGTCAAGTGTACATTATGATTAGGCTCCAGTACTCCACACAACAACAGCTCCCTAATTTAAAGAGTAAAACCATCTTGCATACCTATAAGGAACCTGAAGTGCAGTCTGGAACCCCGATTTCTCATACAACATTCCATAAGTCGCAAGATCTTCCTCAGTGAACCAAGAAGGTAAAGGAGTGGACGAGTCAACCAGGTCCATGATCTCCTCGTTTTCATGAGCAATTGGTATCTCACTTCTGGAAAACAGGATATAAACATTCCTCACTACAGTTTTGGCATCAAGTCGACCAAAATCAGATTCAGCACGCCCAGGTTCCTGTGAGAAAAATATCGTGTGAAGTTAGAACTAGTTAATTGAGGTTATCTGAAACGGGCAGACAGAAAAAGCAACATTAAACCTTCCATCTTGACATGTAGAAGCCTTCAGGGAGTTGCTTGTCAGAAGTGAGAAAACGAGGAAGGTAGAATGGCACACCTAATGTCACAAACCCCAAGATCCTGTCCTGGTAGAGAACAGCAAATATAGAAGCTACAATAGCTCCAAAATCTTTAGCAATCAGAAAAGCCTACATGAACAAGTGTAAGGCGTTACACACACAGAGAGAGAGAGAGAGAGAGAGAGAGCTCATATGTGTCTATTAGATAGCTCAATGATCATTATATTTTGTACCAATATCATATAAATTATGTAAGAAAGAGAGAAATATTTCTACAAGGGTATGGCGACTCATTTATTTTTTCTTTTCTTGTAAAGAAATTATATTGCAAGAGTACCTAATATTCGTGAAAAATAAGAGGAGCTACCCTTCAAAGGAATTAAAAAGAAGAAAGAGTGAAAACATTCTTCCAATCCCAATAACCTCAGGCATTCTTCGCCACATGTAAGTAATTGTTTCGTAATGGACATTTAAGTTTAAAATGTAACATTCAGGAGCACGAAATATCATCTAAGTTTTCATTTCATGATTATTGAAACCATTCTATCATATAAAACATAGAGCATATGATAAAATTTTGACATTTCTGAAACAACTTCAATATCCTCCCAGAGAATATGCATCGTAAGTCTACTTGACCTAGCCAAAAACTGTAACATTCAAATGTCAACCAGGAAAACAGAATTCTATAAAAGCTAGTCAAATCTTTAAAATCAGTAGGGCATATAAAGTGTTGTTTACTGGTATTTTTAACTTTAAAACATGTAATGGACATATATAAATGTTTGGACAAAAATGAGAGAGAAGAAAATAGTGACAAAATGTGTTTGCAATATGAAAATTCTATTGGCTCCCAGTAACTCTAAAAAATCTGATTAAAATCTAAATCAAAGTCAACAATTAATTTTAACACTATATTTCATAGGAACATTTGATCTCTGCCAAACAGGGGTAAAACCCTCTCTTCTCTATAAAAATCACCAATCTCTTCACTCCAATGATTGAACACACTACCAGTATGCTTTGTCAATTTTGGATAACTTTTAGATTTACGGGGTTGATCGGATCGAGTAGCAAATTTAGTCTAAAGAAATTAAACTTTCGAAAATCAATATTGAGATCAATTTTCTTCGTTATTTTTACACCTCCATTTTTAATCTATAGTCACAAGATCAATTTCAAACAACAGCAAAATCAAGGAGATTAATACTTGTGTACCTTGGAGATGCTAAGAGCATCATAAAGCGCAAGAAGATCACCAACGAGGTCTAAGAAGGTGGTCTTCTCGGGTTCGGGTGGCGGATCGGAAAGCCCATAACCTCTGTAATCAAGCGCAATGGCTCTGAAACCAGCACTTGCCACTGCAATCATCTGGTGGCGCCACGAGTACCATATTTCTGGGAAACCATGCAAGAAAACCACCGCCGGCGATGATCCACTCCCGATTTCAGCCACGTGAAGTTTCAGCCCGTTCACTTCAACGTATTTGTGCTCTATCTGGTCCATTTTCATCGATCACTGCTTCAACTGGCGTGTGTTATTTTTTAGAATATTGCTAGGAGTACAGGANCTGATTAAAATTTCTGCCAGACAGGGGTAAAACCCTCTCTTCTCTATAAAAATCACCAATCTCTTCACTCCAATGATTGAACACACTACCAGTACGCTTTGTCAATTTTGGATAATTTTAGGTTTACGGGGTTGATCGGATCGAGTAGCAAATTTAGTCTAAAGAAATTAAACTTTCGAAAATCACCAGTAAGCAATATTGAGATCAATTTTCTTCGTCATTTTTACACCTCCATTTTTAATCTATAGTCACAAGATCAATTTCAAACAACAGCAAAATCAAGGAGATTAATACTTGTGTACCTTGGAGATGCTAAGAGCATCATAAAGCGCAAGAAGATCACCAACGAGGTCTAAGAAGGTGGTCTTCTCGGGTTCGGGTGGCGGATCGGAAAGCCCATAACCTCTGTAATCAAGCGCAATGGCTCTGAAACCAGCACTTGCCACTGCAATCATCTGGTGGCGCCACGAGTACCATATTTCTGGGAAACCATGCAAGAAAACCACCGCCGGCGATGATCCACTCCCGATTTCAGCCACGTGAAGTTTCAGCCCGTTCACTTCAACGTATTTGTGCTCTATCTGGTCCATTTTCATCGATCACTGCTTCAACTGGCGTGTGTTATTTTTTAAGATAAGAGCATCGAGACTCGTTAAATTGCTCTCTACTTGCTCTCTATTTTAAATATTAAAATCACACGGAGTGTTTAAATTAACATTTTAATTTAGAGAAAGCCTCCCTATAAGAATTCAAATTGTTTCAATTTTTAACGTAGGAAAATAATAAAATAATTTTAAAAAAAGTTAGTTAAAATAAAAATAATAAATATTTTTTGAGAGTAGAGCAAGTGTGGGAGTGATTAAAATTGAAAATATAGTCGTTATTAACTTTCACTCGTCTCATAAAAGTCAACAATAACGACTAGTTTTTCAATTTTAATTCAATTTTAATCTCTACCGATCACACCAATGTTAAATATAAAGAGTTTGTTGGGGTATTTCAAAATTTTAACTCACTAAATTTATAGATATTTTTCAAATGATAGAATATACTCTTTAAAAATAGAGAGTCCCTTGGAGATGTTCTAAGATATTGCATTTGATATTTTGTACTATGCGGTGGCTTTGTATAGACAGCAATAGAGCACATTTGGCTAACCTCTAGAGCACTTGTTTGATAAAACTATCAAAAATTCAGTTGTTGTGCATCATTGTTTGCATAAAAATTACATACACATAATGTGGTGATATATAATTAGGTCAGAATTTTTTCAACTAAATAAAAAATATTCTTCACTCTCTTTCGATGTCTCACATGCAAATCATTATATAACTCCTTATATACAGGTAGAATTGTTCTT